GTCGGGAAGGTTGGTAAGTGTATCCTCATAACCCCCCTTCCCACTAGGAGTTGCCATATGGCTGAGAATCAGTGTGTTTGTTTCCTCTTTTCGGATTGTTGCTTTGTGTCGACTGAATGATGAGCGAGGGTTCGGTCTCGGTGAACGTGGGAATAAAACAGAGGCAATATGAAGCAGTAGAGATCTACACATGCCAGACGACATGGAAACCTCAGAAGGAATGCGAGGAGCTATTATTGCCCTTCATAGCGAAGGGTTCGGCGTCACAGATTAGCCGGCAGGTTGGTGTCCACAGGAATACCGCTGCACGATGGATTCGCGATACCTCGAAACTGGTGCTACAGACGACAGGTCTCGGAGCGGCCGACCACGCTGCACCACCCATCAGGACGACCAGGTTGAGTGGTTTATTTGGTAGCATAAATTAATGTGGCAATATTTACAAGTATCACAAATAATTTTGTTAGTTTGCCGATGATGGCAAGTTATTTCGGGAAATTAAGAACCAAGCGGACTGTGAAGAGCTGCAGAAGGACCTCTGTGGGCTCCAGAAATGGTCGAAGAAATGGCTGCTGAGATTCAATGTCACGAAGTGTAAGAGGATGCACCTGGGGCGTACCAACGGTAAGGAGGCGTATCATATGTCCCAACGGGATGAAGAAAATGCACTAGTTGAGATTGTGTGTGAAAAGGACCTAGGTGTGTATGTTGACAATGAGCTGAAGTTCTCGGGCCATTGTGAGAAGAAGGTAAATCAGGCAAATAAATTATTGGGTCTTGTAAGAAGATCGTTCAGATATCTAGACGGTCCGTCCCTCGTGACGATCTTCAGGAGTGAAGTGCTTCCCCATCTGGAGTACTGTCACCCCATCTGGTCCCGAGATATGCTAGGGACTGTCAGTTGGTTGAAAATGTTCAAAGGAGGGCCACCAGACTGGTGCCTGCACTTCGGCACCTCAGCTACCCTGAGAGATTGGAGCGCCTGAACTTGCCTAGCTTATACTACAGACGGGCAAGGGGGGACCTAGTTGAGGTGTATAAGCATCTCGGGGGGGGCACTACTCAGTTGAGTGTCCTTACTTGGAGCTGGCGGACGCTCGCCCCACAAGGGGTCACAGCTCAAGATTGAAGAAGCCGCAAGTCCAGAAAACCGTGAGGGCAAACTTTTTCGGAGTGAGGGTTGTAAACTCTTGGAACAATCTACCAGAGTGTGTTGTGGCGGCACCGAGTGTGAGCTCTTTCAAGAAAAGACTTGACCAACACTGGAGCGGGTTCAGGTACATTCAGGAGCCGGTGCATGCCCAGTATTTGCCAACAGTGCGTGACAGAGACGTGACCGATCGCCCGGGCGGCTAGCGAGCCGATCTTTTGGTGAAGAATATAAATGAAGAGAGACGTGACCGATCGCCCAAGCGGCTAACAAGCCGATCAGTGGCGAAGAGGATAAAAGTAAAAAAATAAAAAGTAACAGGGAGCTCCTCATATTTCATACTGTCTATTTATCACTTCCCGACCTTAGTTATAACGGTTTGTTTCACTTGACCTGGACTGCCAACATACGGCTGGAACAACTCGCCTTTCCCAATACCTATCGTCACTGGTCTCAAATTGTTCACACTACAGTATGCACCGATACTTTTTGTTGCGAGTGTACCTATGAGCACTGTATCCTGTACCACCTACCCTCCACTTCACCCCCCCCCTCCTCCTCCTCCCCCCTCCTCCTCCCTAAACTGCCGGTTAGGACTAATCATCTGTACCTCAGGTTCGCCTTCCCCCTGAGCCAGAACCCTCACAGAAGCAGGAGTTGCCATTTTAGGTAGAAGGCCACATCAGCAGTGAGCAATCAGCAGTGAGCAACAGTGTTAGCATGGCACCTTAGCTATCACTCAGTCTTCAATGTCAGTCGCTTAGCAGTCTACTCTTTGGAGCTATCCACTCTGGCCTAGGCAATGAAATGGAATTGCTGTAAAGGGTAACCCAGTTCAGTAATCTTTCGACTGTTCTGATTTGCTTACGTTGCTAGAAGCATCATGAGGTGAATGCCAACAAAAGCTCCTCTAGCACCGAGACACATCCACAACGGTAGAGATGACTCAACAGACACACCTCCCAGACCCACACAGTCAATTGACTGATTTTTCTCGTAATATCAGTATATATCTTGAGAGATGCCATTCCAGCAAGTCAAAGACTCTCTAGTACATTGCGGTTCCGAGCAACGGGCCAGTCATTTGGAGACTTAAAGTTTACAACTGCCATTTCTACTCAGAGTCTTGGTTGCATCATAATGGAGACATGTAGTGCCATAACAATGATGGAAACTGCTTTTAAAGTTCAATACTCTCTCTCTCCAAATCTCATGGGAGCCCCGTGCGCTCGCCATGGCTACTGCTGTTCGACTGAGCATTTTTGTTGTCGGCGGATTATTTCAGCCGTATATATACATCATAACATACAGTCCTGTACTTCTTTGGGTAGTTTATAGTTTCTGCATCACATGTACAGTATGCAATCGCCATGTTCCACGTCCACACATCAACACTGATATCAGGTAATGGTCAAATACTTTCTCACAGAAAAATTGACATGTTTTAGTTGAAATTATTCTTAGTTTACAAAAGTGCCTCTCCATCCTTCCTACAACAGTATTTATTATGTATAATTATGCACACTAAAGACTGTGTTGCGTATTCGAGTACAGATTCTGAAGTATTCGTATACATGAGTACGAAAATTAAAGTATTGTACTGTGACAAATTATTACATTTCTATCCATATGAATTTACCGGCTTCGCACCACTGCAACCCAGAGGTGTTGGCTTATGTGAGAACAACCAGAAAATCTGTAATATGTAGTCATGGAAATTGAAATATATGATTATTTCTTTCCGAGCGTAACTACCTTGATGCTGGAATGTGGTAAGGGGTGTGGCCTGATCAAAGGAAAATATGTATGTGGAATTTAGGTCAAGGTGGAGGATCAGATCAAAGGTGGAAGAGAGTGTGTGTGTGTGTGTGTGTGTGAGCTAGTCTCCTACCCTACTCTTACCACAAAAGGTGTCGCCGGTAGCCGGCCACACCCAAGTGCAAGTTCAGGTCATGTAAGCTCTTCTCTCTCCTGTTGCATATCCACACAGATCTCCTTGTGTCTTCTGTCAGTGTCTGATTTGATAGTTATATAAGTTCAATGTTAGTGACCAAAACACAAAGGCGTGACCGAATATCCTTAAGACGTTCAACAACCTTTACCTTGAACAATCATTACATGTTGTTCCTACATACCATCTTTGTCTCTTCTACAGTTAGATAGTTGTACCTTCAGAGGTTCCATTATTCCGCCTAACGACACTCGTGGCGTTGTCCCCTTAACGTCACTCACGTCGAATACCTCAGTTTCATCTCTGATTTCGTTCAATTTATTCCTCAAGTGTTTTTAAACTGTTTTAGTTTTTTGTTTTATCTGTTGTCCGTTGAAGTATATTCATTGTGCGTTTTAATCCTTTATATGTAACATTCACTATTTTATGCTACAAAAATATTTGATCGTTGCCGGTAGTAAAGTGTAGTTCACACATTGTGAATTAAGTGTATTGGACAAAACGGAATCAGATTCCGTTCTAGCTCTACCGGGACCATCCCCAAATCCAGTCCTGTTACGTTATATTAAAATAATAATAATAATAATAATAATAATAATAATAATAATAATAATAATAATAATAATAATAATAATAAATGAATATCCGGTTTTAGCAAGAGTACGTTTCTAGGTTTTACGGAAGGTCGTAAGCCTTCGTTACAACATTGGATGATAGTTTAGCGCAACTTCAATACTCGGCACACGTATCAGTCGCGATGGGTGATTGTGTCAGGTCTTCCCTCTGCTCATTATTGTTAGTTTGGTTCGTTGATACAATAAAGGAGACCATTTTTAGTTACAAATTTATCAATCACTGAACTTTGGTTAAAAAAAAATTAATTTATCATAGTTGCTCGTTAAAGGCATCCTGTGCTTGTTGAATCACTGTAATGTTCCTCGTGAATATGTTCTTCATGAACCCAGAGTTATTACAGAAGGAAACTTCGGTACCGTGAGATTACCTGCCGTGATCAGCGTGGAGTGTGTCTAGTGAGGCACCAAGCGCCCTTTGACGTCAATAGTAAAAGGGACCTTTCTCCGACCTTTACTAAGCCAGTGAGCGTAGAATCGAGGACGCTTCTGCGCTTCACCTTGCGCAGGATGTAAGGGGGTGTCCAATAAACTAGCCCCCTCGTGGGCAATCTGTAAAAAATCTGTCAGTACTCGCAACAGTTTCCATGTAGCTGTATCATCTCTCCACCCCTCTCTACACCGCGCCGTCTACCACCGCGCCGTCTACCACCACACAGACGAATTGTCGGAATTTCATCTTTTTGCCCACGGATCCTTAAATTGCGCCTCGAGGACTAACTATACTGAGATTTTAAACATATTTTCGACACAATGTACGCATGCTAAATTTTATCAGGGAAATTAATTATCCAAATTTCAAACTCCGTGACTTTTAGAACAATTATTAAAATTTCAACTTTGTGAACACAGATCGTTAAGCTGCACGGCAAGAAATACCTACAGTATACTAAGATTTTGAGCAAAATTTTTTTTCAAAATTTCAAACTCCAGTGTAAAAGCAACGAATACCCTCGAACAAGTTAGTAAGGACAAATAACTTAAAAAGTGCTTTTTGTTTAATTACCTATCCATACCAACGTGTTCGGGTAGGCATCGACTTTACACCTTGACTGACCACCGATTAATTGCCTGGCTTGTATTTTTAGGGAGGTGAGGGAGGGATGAACCCCGCGAAAATGCCGGTTAGGTACTTCGATGCCACCAGTCGGTGTGGCTTATAATTATGTGGCGTGTACTATACATTATTATATTCCTTCTGGTCACCACCAACATAATATTATTTCAACAGGACTTACGTACTAATGATGTTATGACGATGTTACAGGGCGTAGTGGCCTGGGTGACGCTGACGGCACACCTTACTGTGGCACAGAACCTCACACCCACCACCACGCTCACTAACCACCAGGTAGGTTCGTCTCTTTCTAAGCACCGACGCAAGAGTTCCAAACATAGTGGCTCTCACTTGGTGGCGGCCCTGGTGGCCATGTCTACCTCCTCATCCTCTCCGTTTTCCATGTTTAGCTCATTGTTTCTCTCTGTCTCACGTGTTAATGGCACAAGTTAGATCGAAACGTCACTTTTTTTTTAATATGCTGCCAATGTACACTCACGTGCCATAGTTTCGATGCACCCTCTACCCCTGACTATGAAAATCGTAGCCTTGTACCGAGCGCCCCCCCCACTCCAGTCGGTCAGAACACCGAGATAAGAGAGCCTTGGCTTTGAGGTAAAGGAGATTTGGGGAAGGTATAGTTAAGAACTGGGAAGTACAGAAGAAGAATGATAGCAGGTGGGCTTTTCACCTTGCGGAGGCTGGTTTGTGGCTTAACCAGTGACAGACGTCCCTCAGTCCTCCAGGGGCAAGGGAGGTTAGATAAGCTAAGCTAGTTTAAAGTGCGATCCCATTGTTCAGTGGTGTAATGTGGTAGCTCGAAGCTTCGCTGGATTGTACGAATAGCAGTTCATGATGTAATATTTGAGAGAATATATGCACGATACACTTTTTTTTTTAGTGACTTCACAACACTTTATTTACCATCACTATACTTAACATCACTATACAAGAGAGACCGTTCGGTTTGCAGCCCTGACTACGACTTCCCTCGAGCCAGGAGTAGGGGGTAGAGGATGCATCGAAACTATGGCGCGTGAGTGTACAATGAAAGACAAAAGTCGTGTCGTGAAATTTGGCGAAAACATACACCGAAGGGCTAAACTTTTGGTGCGCTCTGCCTTGTGGTAGGTGGCTCTCATAAAGTTTCACGAGTTATATTTAATCTTCGGACAAAACCGCGACACGACTTTTGTCTTTGATTGTACACATTTAAAAGTTGGCGACTTTTTTCTGTCAAGTTGAATTTAATATATTGACGGCTACAGTACATCCTGTCTCATGGGCAACAGCTCATATTTTGTATATGTATCATAAAAATACATATTAATGAATATTTTCACAAAAAACCTAACTACCTGACCTAACCTAGCCTAAAATTACCTAATCTACTTTAGGTATAATGTTGCTATCATACGGTAGTAAACGATGCCTTAAATGAAACAGAAAATTTTTCCATAAACAATTTTTTTGGAGTTCTATTGAAAAGTTATCCATATTCGACCAAACTTTCATTACTTAAGCCTTAATTGGCTATTGTCTTTATGTAGCATGCTATATATATATATATATATATATATATATATATATATATATATATACACACACAAGGGGTGTATTCCTAAAACATAAATGACTAAATGACCAAATTATCAATTCTCAAAAGTTTCGGAGTTACAGCACATGATGGTTTAAACCTCGCCGCAGTTGTTAAGATGATTTATCTCTTCTCCAGATCTTTGTGTTGGACCCCACACACATCTTGAACATCACTTCAGCTCCGCCCTATGTTCTACTGCTTCGGATACCCCCGCCTACCCATCACATCTCTCCTGACATACCCCAGCCTTCTACTGCCAGGAGTTCCCCAACCACACCTACCCCTGCCACCACGACAGCTTCAACCCACGTCAATCATGATCCCGCAACCACCACTCTACCTTCCTCTACCACAACTGCAGTTACTTATATTATAAATCTTCCTTCCACCATCAGGGGTCAAGTTAAGAATAGTAGCGAACACTCTCCTCGTGTCAACAGTCCGCCGCCCACCACCACCACTCACCGAGCCATCAGCACCTCGTCATCTTCAGGCACGCCATCTTTTGGTGGTGTCAGTCATTCGTTACGCAAAATTCGACCAGCTCTACCTATCAATCAGCGCTTGTTATCTTTTCCGAGAGAACCCATTCCACTCACCCGGCTGCCACCTAGACGAGGATCAGAAGCTGTCACTCAGCCCACATCTAATGGGACTCCCTTAACTCTCTCACGCACCGCTCAAGGATCTTCCCTCACTCTCCATAGCACTGCTCCCAAGTACACAAGGATAACTACACAACTCTCCAACAGAATTAAGAAAGCGGTCCCCGCAGGAACTAAGAAGTATAAATCAAACAAATACAGCGGCAGCAAAACAGGAGCGTGGAGGTGGACGATGCCGGGAGCTGAGGAAGTCGTTGCACGTCGCCTCGCTACCCTTACCCGTGTGAAGGCTTCAAGACCGCGATACAGACTGACATCGAACACGGATTCCCCCTCGACAACTACAACCACATCTATACCAGTTGCAGTGTCTGCCCGAAACCCCTGGGAAATTGCTACAACAACTGCAAAGTCTGCAGCTTCTCACGCTGCCCCGAAACTTGATGACAATGTAACCACCCTGGGACTGGATGTCAGGATAGTCAGCCCGATATTGGATGACAGG